GCCTCCGAGCCGAATCACGGCCTCGAGTGTCGGCGAGGCCGGGAATAAGGCCACAACACTCCTCACCTCCACCACCACCATCGCATTAGTTGGGGACCTCGCACCGGTCACTACAATCTCAAGCTGGCGACGCACGCAAGGTGTTCGACAAAAAGGTTCGGCAACTTTCTTTCCAGTTTTGAATTGGGCTGTTTAAAGCAAAAGCTGGTGTGGATTAAGAAATGCAATTCTGTATTGGGACCTTCCCCTTATGTTATTTGCAACTTTGGATTTCGATCAAAGAGAAAAGCTTTTTCATGGCATTCGTCCGATCACACCAATCTACAATGCCATATCACATTTTAGCCGTATGATGGTCGGAGTGTTGCAAAAAAGAAATAAAAGTTAAGATTGAGGGATGGGCTAGTTGGGAGGCTCCCGATAAGTTGCTTTTGGAATTAAGTTTAGGAGATGGGATAGAGATGCTCTTAGAGCAACAGCTGATGCAAGATACATATTTGGTTGGCTTATAGTCTTTAAAATTAGGAAAACCATCTGATAGACAGAATCAGAAACAAACATGATCATGTAAAGTATACCAAACAGGGTAACCCAAAATTGGAAGAAGAGGAAAATTAAACACATCGTCGGTGTCATTTCATAATCATCTACTACCTTCGTTTGGGCTTATTGGTTCCTTTCAGATTTTGTGCCAAATTTTGACTGTAGATTTGACTAACAAAACATAAATTGCATGTCACGGAAGTTATATTATTGGATTCATATTTGTAAGAGGTTTTCAATGATACTATTTTTGTGGTATATAACTTATTTTTTGATAGTTAAATTAAAGGTCAAAGTTTGACCCCAAAATAATGGGACTAAAAAACCAGAACGCAGGTAGTGGCAATTAGCAGTTGGCTATCCATACGCTATAGTGATTACTCACCAAACAACAGGCGGGTTCTTTTTTTACAACAAATGTAATATTGATGCCTCTCCCCACTTCTCTTTGTAGCTTTTCACCTATACGGTTTCTTCATGTGCAGGAATCGTCTGTCACTTCATCTCCTTTTCCATTCTATGTGAACAAAGGAATCGTTGGTTTAAACATAGGACAAGCCAACAAAAACGATAGGAGGAAGAGAGATATTATTACAATGCAGTAAAGTAAAAAAATGACGTCCATCACGCATTAGGTATTTCTCACCACGAGCAGCTACTTCAGTATTTCTAAGCTAAGGCATTGGGTCTCTCATCTGCAGTCTGCCCCCCTCTTGGAGACAAGCAAGAACCTCTGCAAACTGAAAGAAAGAAGGGATGGTGAAGAAGGGGAAGTGGTCCAGGGAAGAGGATGACTTGTTGAAAAAACACATTGACAAGTATGGCATTGGCCGTAGTTGGCAGGCATTGGCTGAAACCCTAGGTTAGTTTTTTTGCTTTCGCCCATCGCCTTCATTCAACTGTTCATATTGCTGCTACGTTGATCTCCATTTTAACCCCCATACATGCCTTCATTTCAAAATGAAAAGAAAGCTACCCAAATGTGACACGGCTGTTTGTTTGGCTTGCAAATGATCTCTCTAAAAAGTTACAGTTGTTAATTTAGAAGAAAGATTGGTACAACTTATATGGTCTCGTCAGTTCATCATAGTTGCAGAAAATGCATACTGCTTTCTTTTCTAAATTTCTCAGCTTATCTCAGAATTACTTTGGCACGTTTCTTATCGATTTTGTTGTTATGTTTGTGTGGAGAGTTCGGACAGACATCTAGTGTTGCTCTTTGGCCGTTTCCCATGAGAAAACCAGTAGCGTCCTGCACACATACAACTACCATGTTCATACTCTAATTGTCACTCACCACTGTGGCTAAAGCATGATTTCTGAGGATGTTGCTCGTCGATTCGCAGGGCTTCAGCGTTGCGGTCGGGGTTGCCGAGCGCGGTGGCTGAACTACCTCCGGCCGGGACTGAAGCACGGCAACTTCACGCCGGCAGAGGAGAGCATCATCTGTGAGATGTACAGCAAGAGGGGAAGCTGGTAAGTCCCGAAAAAATAAGCATGCCCTGCTGCCATTGCCTGCACGCATCTCAGCTTCTGCTGCCTCTGCCCAACCAACGGCCACACCAATGTCCATCACTGTTTTTCCACAAGTTCAAATTAGCTGAACATTGCTTGCGTGACGCTTCTTGGCTTCTTGCTATTGTGCTTCTTTAACCAATCTGGTGCTGCTTTGGTTGCCATTTGATCGAACAGCTGGTCCGTCATCGCCGCCCAGCTCCCCGGGAGGACGGACCTCGCCGTCAAGAACTACTGGAACGGCACCATCTCCAAGAGGTTCCACTGGGCGAGCAGCGCGGCGGCCGCGCGCCGCAGGCGCAGCGACCACCGCCCCTCCTCCAGCACGACGTCGGACGCCACCAAGCCGGAGGAGCTCGCGCTGGTCGTCCACGGCGAGGGGAGCTCCACGACAGGATCGTCATGCTATGCCGGCGGCTTCGTGGACGCCCGCGTCCTGGCCGGCTCACTGCCGCTCGTGCAAGCGCAGCCACCGCTGGCGGCCGGCGGCTGGAAAGCGGCGAAAGAAGAGGTCGGTGAGACGGTGCCGATTGAGAGGAAGCCGGCCGTGGCGCCTGCGCCTCTGCCAGAGAATGCACCGGCGCTGCCTGGTGATGAGGCCGGTGCGGTGGACATGGTCTGCGCCCCCATGACTGCGATCCCCCTGGCGTCCATGGAGCCGGACGACATGCCTTGGATTGACGGTTTCGACGAGATCGACAGCTTCCTGCCCTGGTTCGATGACTAGTAATCAAGTGGCGACGTAGGTATAATGGTTATCGTCAATGGCTGGCTCCTTGGTTCAGGAGCAGCCGCAAGATAGTGTCATGTACTGTGAAACATTTACCATGTTGTTTTCCGAAAAAGATTTACCATGTTGTTAGGGTTGGATGGGATATGGGCGGAAAGGTAATTCCCAATTGAATCATAACTGGGCGTAGCCATTCTGTTGATGTGATTCCTAGACATTGCACAAGTTTCTGATGACCATCTTTTCCGACAGAGCATTGTGGCTTAATCTGTGCCCCTAGGAACCAGACCATATACTCAGTTCAGCGAGTGGTTGCATAACAGAACTGGAATCTGCACATGAATCCATCTGGCAACCGTGTCAGGCATGATCAAAACTCATACTCCATATCAGATTCAAGTAGTACTAGAGTACCTCGAAGTGTGAACCAACCGAACAAGAACTTTGGAGCATCAACGTGCATCTGCAGGGACTTAAAATCCAGAGCATGGAAGGGGTTAGATAACAGGATAGTGATGATTTTCTTCTAGTGATCAGCGAATGCATCGGCCCTGTGCTGCTGACCTTCAGAGGTTCAGATGACTCCGGTTTCTTCTTGGAGTCCAGATCTTAGCAGGACTTGCCGAGGCTTGGTTAACACTTAACAAGGTGAGGATTAGAGCAGAAATGAAATGACACATTCGCACAAGAACATGATACACTCAGAATCATTTGTTCATCATAGTCTTTTAGTAACAAGACAATGATATAGGAAGTGAACACTTCAGTGGTGAACTAGGAAAACAAGGAAACTTCAAGTAGAAGAGATGAGGTTCTGTGAATAGGGTATACCTTTGCTACTTTCTAGTTTCCTTTTAACAAAGCGAATATATGAACTGCATGATGTTCCAATATCTGGCATAACTGCAAGATAATTCATCGACTCAAACTGTACTATGGAGATGCATGAAACGACATATGGGCAGCGAAACGACAGCTGAACCGTCGGCTACATGCTACATAGGCCAACTGATACCTTCAGGCACAGATGGGCTACCTTTACAAAGATTGACCATCTAGTTAGTTAGTTCCAGAATGTTGCTAACAGTAATATACAACAAGGAACGAGCACATCTAATGAAGAGAGAATATGCCCAGCATAACCATCATAGTAGAGATCTCACACACCACGAACTTTATGTATAGAAGAGAATTTGCCAAAACTGAAAGATAATGAACCATTAGCTACTCGGCAGTTCCACTAGAACAAATTTGCAGTTCGCAAATTGAAACCGAAAATGCCAATTAATAAAACAAACCAGATCAGAGGAGGTGTGTATAGATCATACAAATTCAGATTGTACGTTTTAACAGCGAATTTCAAGTAGTTCCAGGAAGTATGGAAGACCAAAGGCTACACAAAGTTAACAACTATTGCGTTTCTTCATGGGCAGAAAGAGCGATATATTTCCTTTTTCTAGGAGAAAATAATAATAATGTGATCTTCCTTTTTCTCGTGATAATTAATGTAACCTACTTTCCAAAATAGTCACTGCATTCTGCGAATGTGTAACCTCATGCTATGCAGTCAGGATGCAGTACAGTCATATGATTATAGCTTCAAAATCATTCCAAATATTCCAATGTTAGAAGTGCCTCAACTACTGGTGATAAGTACAAGAGAAGACGGCGTAGTACAATTTACAGTCATCTTAGCATCAGCATAGGATTATAACTTCAAAATCATTTCAATGTTAGAAGTACCTCAACTACTGGTGCTAAGTACAAGAAAAGACGTTGTAGTACAATTTACAGTCATCTTAGCATCAGCCTGACATTTACAGATACATCTCAGGTTTATCACATTGGATAACTGTGTGATTATAACTTTTGATTTGAGTGCTGAAAGCATCAACATAACATCACATGACTTATGGAGCATCCATGCACAAGTTAATGACCAATAATAAAACCTCCAACTGCCCAAAAAAGGAAGTTAAATATGTCTTAGTATTGCTCAATCTGTTTTCCCCTACATGTCAGAATCACCATCTTAGTTATTACCCGAGAAAAAGTATACAATACATCATCTCTGTTAACCATTCAGCCAGAAACTGTGTGGTTCTAAGATGTCCCTATATTACACTCTAAGGTTGAGCAATCTGATGGCGATTTCTGGCACGCAACCAAAATGCCGAAACAATCAAAAGAACCTTCCTATCTCACAACACATTCTAATTACCCATGTACTGTAACGAACCAAAAGAAGAGGGGTTGGGAGCACACCTGCTTCAAGAACCCGTACAACTAGTCAGATCCTTTGTTGCGACTCAATCACTAAAGCATTGAGCATGATATGCATGACAGCATCATACACCACGCCGTTGTAATGCATCCCGTCGGCCGTGCATTGCTGCTCACATCCCCGGGAGAGCTTTCCCACATCTAGCAGCCGGAATGGGCCACCATCACGGCGCAAGATACACCTCTCATCAACCTCACGGTCATAGGCTTGCAGCATTGTGTCGTTCATATGCTCCTTCTTGGCATCAGTGTTGAGCATAGGGTTGACAAGCCGCGGCAGGCCGAGCCAGAACATGTGCGGCGGTGGCACGGGGAGTGGCGAGCGGAGGGAGTTGGCCGCATCAGCAATGGACGCCAATGCTTCGCCGTACTGCGGGGAGTCGGTGACATGGAGCATGTGCCAGAGGCCGGATCCGAGCAAGAGCACGTCGGGGGTGCGCGGCGCCAGGCGGAGATCCTCGCGAAGCAGACGCGTGAGGTTGCTCTCGAAGGGCGCCCATATGAAATCCACGGAGATGCCCCGCGCCGGCACGGCAGCGTGGTAGTCGCTGTGGCGGCGGAACAGCTCCGGCTCCGCGGCCGCTGCGGCGGCCGGGTCGAGCAGGAGGCGCAGCAGCGCGAGCACGAGCAGGCGCGCCTGCGAGTCCCCGGCCACCATGACCCAGGAGCCGTTGAGCAGGGTCGAGGCGTCGTCCCGCGTCAGCCGTGCGAAGCCGCAGGTGGCGGCGAGCGAGGGCGGCCACGACCAGGCGCGGCCCCCGCCGTGGGGCTCGGCGTCCGCCCACGACACGCGGTGCAGGACGGAGATGCAGGAGGCGGAGGAGGAGGAGGACGGGGCAGCGGGGCGGAGGGGGTGGAAGGAGGAGACGAGGAGGTGGGGCAGCGAGGGGAGGTACGGGGAGAGGTGAACCCCGACGGCCAGGGAGACGAAGAGCGCGCCGGAGAAGAAGAGCACCTTGTTGCGGCTGAGGTGCCAGCCGGCGAGCCCCATGGGGACGAAGAGCACCACGCACGCCGCCAGCACGCCCACCTGCGCCGCGGCGGAAACCATGGACCGGCCTGGCCGGCCCTCCCCGCAGGACCGGGTGCACGAGCGAGGCCGACGCCGAGGTCCACCAGATCTGGGCCGAGGGGCGGGGCGGCAGGAGGTTGGGCGAGCGAGCGAGCGAGCGACGGCGCGAGAAGTAGGGTCGCCGCGTGGTGTGGGTTGGTGGCGCGGTGGTGGGGTTGGGGTGCGAGGTGGGAGGGGGAGGTCGGCGGGATGGGAACAGCGGAGCGGCAGGCGGGTGGCTCCGGCGCTTTCTGGGGCGGTGAGGTGCGTCGCGCCGGCGTGGATCCGGTCCAGAAGAAAAGAAAGCGCTGCCCGGCTCGGGTTTTCTTTTTCCTTTTTATTTTTTCTGTGTGTCGGTTATGAAAATAGAGAATGTTATTTTCCAGTGTGCTTCGTGTCGTTAATCACTGACGCAAACAGCAGGTCAAATATACTGTGTACGTTAACCAGGAGTATCACATGTTCTCGATGCTACCCCTTGTGGTTCCACTCTCTTTCGTTTACAAGCAGATTGTACCCCGATCCATCCATCATTTTCGCCAACGCTTGATTAGGAGTGATACCAGAAGCCACGACCTCCATGTCAACCTCAAGTGGCGAAGATGTTAGATCGTGTAGCAACTCTTAAATTTTCTCCCGCATTCATCCACGAACAGAACGGGTTAATCCGAGGACACGGATACGATAAGACGCCATTCAACACTAGGTACCTGCATTGCAAACTCTTTTTCAGCAAATCGGATGAAATTTATGTAAAGACGAACATGGGCCGCTCCCCTTCCCCCCTTCTCCTCCCTCGCCATCGCCGGTGCTGTGCGAAGCCGGCGGCGGGGGGCATGCTCTCTTCGGCGGATGTTTGCTCGCGAGATGGGGAACTCGCGGGCAACTGGCGGCTGTCCGGCGCTCAGCTCTGGGGCGGCGTGCTCGCTTGTGGCGGCAGAGGTGGTCTTTGACGCGCGGCGCAGTGCGTGCGGCGATGGGCGTGCCGTCGTGGGTGCGCGGTGTTGGTTAACATAGTAATTTCAAAAAAAACGCACACGCAGGATCATGGTGATGCATAACAACGAGAAGGGAGAGTGTTGTCTACGTACCCTCGTAGATCGTAAGCGGAAGCGTTTATCAACGCGGTTGATGTAGTCGTACACCTTCACGATCCGTCCCGATCAAGTACCGAACATACGGCACCTCCGCGTTCAGCACACGTTCAGCTCGATGACGTCCTCGCCTTCTCGATCCAGCAAGTGGGGCGAAGTAGTAGATGAGTTCCGGCAGCACGACGGCGTGGTGACGGTGTTGGTGAAGAACAATCTCCGCAGAGCTTCGCCTAAGCACTACGAAAACTATGATGGGGGATAAACTAGAGGGGACGGGGTAGCCGGCACACGGCTCGGTGTTTCTTGATGTCTCTTGGGTGCTAGCCCTACCCCTCTATTTATATGTTGAGCCTTGGGGTCGAAACTTGGAGTAAAAGCCTCCACAAAGTCGGTTTCACCCGAAAGGCAAGAGTCCTTCTCGGACTCCAGGGCTAGACACCAGGGACCCTGGCTTATGGCCCCTGGACTCCGCAAAACTTTTTTTTGCGCTTTCCAAAAACTTTGTGTGCTTTCCCCTTTGGCCCAAATAAAATGTTCTCGTACCCAAACATTTCGAAAAATATCCGGAA